CATAGAAAGATAAATAAAGTGATAGATAGATAGATAGATAGATAGATAGATAGATAGATAGATATGGACAGAATGAGATATATAAAAGTATTAGGTATAACTAAACAATATCTGTAAAAGGACAATGTGAATGAAGACTGTCATGGCTCCTTACCCATAACTACAGAATGAAGTCTTCCTAACACTATATATACTACGCCTCTCAAGAGAGAGGGACGAATCGGGGTGAAAGCCGATCGTTTTTCGACTTGACGGTCGAACTCTCTGCTTTTTGAGCAGAAAGGAACCTCGACTTGACGAGGTTCCGCTGAAGGGCAGAATCTCGTTCCGGGTGAATGACCTACCCGATCTCGTTTTTACGAGTCATACGGGCATATTTTTTGGCTGAGCCTACGGGCTGGGGAAACCCACGATAAAAATGACCTTGTGTCGCATGCAACCCTCGGGGGGGGTGGCTAGATACTGAATCAAGCCGAGCTTCTCGGCTTGACGGTCGAACTCAATGCCTCTGATCAGAAAGGAACCTGGACGAGGCTCTATCGAAGGGCAGAATCTCGTTCGGGGAGAAATGACCAACCTGATCTCGTTTTTACGATATACGGGCATATTTTTGGCTGAGCCTACGAGCTCGGAAAACCCACGATAAACTCGGCCTTGTGCCACATGCAACCCTCGTGGGGGGGTGGCTAGATACCGAATCAAGCCGAGCTTCTCAACTTGACGGTCGAAATTTCTGCCTCTGAGCAGAAAGGAACCGGACGAGGCTCCGCCGAAGGGCAGAGTCTCGTTCGGGGAAAATGACCAACCCGATCTCGTTTATACGGGTTATACGGGCAATTTTTGGCCGAGCCTACGGGCTCGGGAAACCCACGTAAAAACACGGCCTTGTGCCACATGCAACCCACGTGGTGGGGGGCGGCTAGATACCGAATCAAGCCGAGCTTCTCGACTTGACGGTCGAACTTTTTGCCTCTGAGCAGAAAGGAACCCGAACGAGGTTCCGCCGAAGGGCAGAATCTCGTTCGGGGAGAAATGACCAACCCGATCTCGTTTATACGGGTTATAAGGGCATTTTTTGGCCGAGCCTACGGGCTCGGGAAACCCACGTAAAACCTCGGCCTTGTGCCACATGCAACCCTCGTGGGGGGGTGGCTAGATACCGAATCGAGTCGAGCCGATAGTAGTTCACTCTAAACCAGACTGACAGTCATACTAACACCTTCCACATCTTGTATTATTATTTCGTGTAATATACCTTCGTTATTTTTACTCTTGTGTTCATGTTGTTCTTCCTTGCTCATAACCTGGACCATAGCAAAAACAATAGGAAAATTTATCTTTGTAGATTATCTAAAATTCATCAGAGGACAAAACACGTCACCAAGATAAATCTTCCCTTTTCTTCATCATTATATATATATATATATATATATATATATATATATATATATATATATATAATCTGCTCGGAATACTAAATGTCCGGTCTTAGTGTCTATTAGGAAACAATTACTGGACATTTGCTGACTGAAACTCTACCATCGCATTACGAGTGGGTGGCATCCCATTTTGAGAGAGTATCACATTGAACCCTGATTATATATCAAGTTTAACTTGGAACTTGGCCATAGTTCGACTGTATCGATTAGAATGATTTAGAAGGCAATGGTGTATAGTTTCTGGGAATTTGGTGAAAGTGATTCATTTTCCTGAAAGCCTCTAAGAAGTAGAAGCTTTACCGAAAATGTTGAAAGCTTTCGTGGAGCAATCAAATGAAATCGTCTATTCACAGTGGGAAATATTGGCAGCAGATCTGAGGCGAGTTTGGAAATCTCGGAAAGGATCCGACCAGAAGAAAGATTACGAAATACCATTTTTCATTACTTTTTACAAGACCTGTTTAGTCAAAAAAAATAGGGGATTAGTTTCTTCTATCGATAAGATTAGGGTTGTTTTCACTTCCGGCGTTTTCACCAATCCTAACATTATAGTTGAAAATTACAAGATTCCACACCATGAAGCAAAGAAAAGAAAAGATGAAGTGTCGACGCGGCCGATAGATTAATAACAATATGGAAGAATTTTTAGAAAAAACAAAAGTTACACTATCTCTTGATTCACACTTCCTTCTTTATAAATGGTGTAGAAATGTGTCCCTCGTTTCCTGTTTAACATTGGAATTCGGGTCCATTTCAAAGTTTGCCTCAAGTACATAACGTCTTCGAATTTTAAAAATTTTCTTTAATAATTATTGATTTATGTTTTTATTTATTTATTTATTTTATTTTTCTCCTTAGTAGTATTAGATAGGCTTTCCTATCGCCCGGTTTAAATTTCTCACCGAAGTGGAGTGAAGTCCAGTCGGGTACAATACATTCTCTTAAGGGAAAATAACTTTGGGAAAAACATTCATGCACTGCTTATCCTACAAGGTATTGGTTGAGATTATCACAGGCTGTGTCCTATAGCTTTAGTCGGCAGTCTGTTTATTGCAAAAAGTAACACCATTCTACTGCAGAAAATCTGGCATGTCAGTCGCGAATAGAAAGAGTCATGGTGATCATATATAATAATAATAATAATAATAATAATAATAATGGACTCTACTATCTGTTTCAAGTGTAAGGATTGTGGGATGAGATCATTGTTAGATTGGCTGACCTTTCAGATCCCGTTCTCCCTTCTTGAAGACGATTCAAACAAGCTGAGTGAAAACGGCTGAGTCCACTAAAACACGTTGATCGCCATTCTGCCCGCTAAGCGCTCGTGGGTGTTATATATATATATATATATATATATATATATATATATATATATATATATATATATATATTTAAAGATATTTTGTAGGTACAAAAATTTAATGATCGAAATAAAAAGAATAAAACTTAATAATACTAGACATATTAAAAACAGGCGAAGCAACCGGTTTCGCTCCCGCTCTTCAGGTTTCAACGGGAGACTTAATTTAAAATTAACACAGAAAAATGTACAATAAAAGGAAGTCGTGGGACGAGAAAAAATATAGCAAAAGGAACTAGAGACAAATGACAGCGAGCCCCAACAAACATTCACGTTGTTTACACAAAGAAGGCTTGCGGGACCCGATGTAAAGTGCCTTCAGAACCTTAAGATGAAATAAAGAGTGAGACCGGGACAACACGGTGAACCAGTCAACACTAATATTTATTTGCATTAAAAAATACAAAATGCGGCACAAGGCCAAAAAGGGGGATGGGGAATGACGGTCTTCATCTGTCTTAAATCTAAAACTTAGCTAGTCACAGACACTGACCCAAACATGCCAACAATAATCCAATCACCAAAACATCACATTCACTCCTACCATTCTTACTACGTCCACCATAATACCTCAGTTTCTCTATGATGTCCAAACTAGTACCCATATATACAAATATTGTTCATGGGGGAGGGTCATAAAAATAACAACTTTAAAAAAAAAATCCCCAAATGAATATTTACAAAATGAAATAAATATTTACAATAAAACTAAACAAAACTGAGTTAGTAATAAAACCCCCACAAACTATGAATGTGGCAGAAATGTCAGTTAACCAGACGAAATCGATGCGGGACTAAGAAAATGATTACACATTCAGACCATCAAGCATTCACACAAACACTCACTCATTCATACACAACAACAAATACGAAAAACACACACCCGAAACGAAAGGCGCCCCACATCCACCAGAAAATTGACATCACTAACCACCTAACGAGGGAGGGGATGGGGAATTAAACAAAAGTAAAAAAATGGGACAGAAATAAAAGGGACCAATGAGCTTACATACCCTAGCTAAGTTAAACGGGAAAAAAAGGAAAACTAAATATTCAAAAACAAAAACCTAGTCTAACCTAATATCTGGGTGGGTTGCCTACGTTCAACCCTGTTAGGACAATATTCTGTGCCTAACCGACATCTAAATGCCACTCTAGGTCAGCCCCTTTCACTCTACACATTCGCGCAAGATTCACCCACCTTTTGGCGAATTCTGATGATGGGAGCCGCCGCCTTTCCGTCCTAATCTTGACTTTAAGCTGATGCCTAAAGTACAAGATCAGTTGGGAAGAGGTGAACTTCTCGCCTTCATAGAATCCCTTCTGTCGCGTCGTCCAAATCACGACTCGCATAACCCCTAGTAAGCAACAGAACACATAGTGTTCAGCCTTCGTCAATTGCGATACCACATTGCTACAAACAGAACTGGCTTCCAGGACAAAAAACTTTCCCTGCAGCATGCGAACCATGAGGCCTTCAACAAACTTGCACAACGGCACTACCGCACTGCACTGAAAAAAGGCGTGACCAATGGTCTCGACATTCCCAGTACAGCGACGACAGTTTGATATTTTCCAAGCCTGCTGCACAAAGTCTTTTGCCGACCCAGAGGGCCCCGCGAATCATCAGCCAGGTGAGTGATGCCTCATCATTATTGAGACATTTCAACCCAGGCGCCCAAGGCCATATCGAGCGAGCCTCCTGCTTCGTAAGACCGAGCTCGTCGATCAAATCATCTTGAACGGCCCCCTAACTAACACACGATATAATGCCTTACGAGACAACGCTTGGGCGTCGGAGAGGCCAACCGACGACCGCAAGAGGAGCTTCAAAGCACGACGACATTCACGATAGAAGGAGCACTCGCCACGAAGAGTACGACCGGCCTCCTCCTCGCACGAGTGCACACTTCTCAGGGATGGGAAATGTTTACGGACATCTTCTTTCCAAAAGGTGCCCACCTCATCCAAACCGCGACACATTCGGTCGAGAAAGGTAATGCGTAGCATATATTGACGAATCTCAATGCTAGGCATTCCCAGACCGCCCTCAGAGGGATGAAGGCAACAGATCTCGCGAGATGCCATGTGGGCCTTGCCCTTCCACAAGAAAGAGAACAAGGTCCGGACTAATGACATTAGTCGGGCACACGGGAGTGGAAGCACAGAAAGACGGTAGAGGAGTATCGGATAGATGTGGGAACCACAAACTTCCGCCCTTCCCTTCAGGGAAAGTCTCCTCCGAGACCACAGACTAGCCGCGGCCTCGGCCCGCCCCTGTACCTCCGACCAATTCTTTTCCAACTGGAGATCAGGACCGAACCAGACGCCGAGTATCTTGATCGGCCCATCCGTCCAGAGGAAAGGTCCGGGAAGAGAAACTCCCTTCCACGCACCCAACCGCAAGCCCACAGACTTATCGCGGTTGATTTTGGCCCCTGTCACCATCTCATACCCACTGATCTGCTTACTGACTTCGTTAATCTCGGCTCTGCTCGACACAAGAACCGAAACGTCGTCAGCATAGGCAGAATACCTGGCCGAGGTGTTAGCACCAGGCAGCGAAATACCGCGTAGGACCGGATTCGCCTTTAACTTGCGAAGGAAAGGCTCCAACGCAAGAACGTAAAGCAGAGGCGATAGCGGACAACCTTGACGAATGGAGCGAGACAATACGAAAGGCTTCGATCTTACCCCATTCACTTCCACCAGCGCACCGGGGTCGCATACACAAGACGGATCCAGGAGCGAAAGTCGGCTCCGAAACCGGCCGCCGAAAGGACAGCCTCCAGAAATCGATGGTCAACCCTATCGAAGGCCTTGGACTGATCTAAATTGATCAGCGCGGCTTCACTGTCGACTTGTTCTAAGATCAGGCGTACCATATGAAGGTTATCCTGAATAGTCCTGCCCTTCACAGCACAAGTCTGTTCAGGGCCAATCAGACTAGACAGGACAAGCTGCAAACGGTTGGCCAAGATCTTCGCCAAAATCTTTAAGTCAGTGTTTAACATCGTTAAAGGGCGAAAGTTCCCTAACCCATCCCTCCGTCCTTGTCCTTACGCAGCAACTTGATGACACCTCTGGTGAAGCGTTGAGGTAAAGACCCCTGCCTCATCCAGTGGTTGTACATCAGTTCCAGCAAAGGCACAAAAACGTGCGACAACCTCAAGTAAACTTCGTAGGGCAGACCATCTAATCCCGGAGACTTATCCAGGCCAACCTGCTTCAGCGCTTCCCAGATTTCCGACTCTGTTATGCGGCCCTCGCACCTAGCCACTTCAGCTGCCGAGAGGCAGGGAAAGTCAGCTAAATAGGGCGTCGAACTGAGCAGAACTCAGACCGGGCTCCCTGGTGAAAAGCTCCTGAAAATAATCTCGAAAGACCTCACATATGCCCGCGTTTGTAGTCACAGTCCGCTTATCCGGTAATGTGACGCACGCTATATGTCGCCTGGCCGCGTTTCGATTTTCCTCTACACGCAGTTCAGCGGCCATATTCGTTGCCTCAGAAGACATTCTTTTTAACCTAGCCCTAACTACCAGAGCTTGGTCCTTCTTGATAAGCAAGGAGGCCAACTCTGCCTTAGCTAAGACTATGTCCCCACTAACACGGGATTTCACGGCCCGATCAACTTTTTTCTTCTAAAGCCGTTTGCGCCGCTAATTTATCTAAATTGAGCCGACGACTAAAGTCGGCAGCAAACGAACGAATCTTAGATTTTAATTTGCCCCACCAGGCATTTCCCACAACCGCTCCCGTCAATTCCCTCTGGATTGTTAGTAGCAGCTGGTCCCGGAAACCCTGATCACTGAAAAGCGAACAGTTCAATTTCCAGTAACCAGCCAACTTAACCTTAGGTTTATCTAAGTTTACACGGACCCGGACAAGCCTATGGTCCGTATAAACTATATAATGGAAACTTGGACAGCCTAAGAGCCCTACATCGACTCTCTTAACTAAGACTCGGTCCAGATAGCTCGCAAGCGAGCCAGGAGCCGAGCTGCCACTAGTAGTCCAAGTCCATACTACCTCCCGAGGGTGTTCATTCCGGAACTTATCGACAAGATCAAACCCATCGATAAAGTCCCGAAATGGTTTCACATCCGGGTTGTTAGTACCTTTTTTTGCCCTATCCGATCTATATCGGGGTCAAGGACGGCATTCCAATCCCCCGCTAAAACTACCCGACGAGACGTCGTCAAGAACGGCGCGATCTGCCGAAACAAAGCAGGCCGCTCGGAATGGATATTGGGCGCATAAACCCCAATGAGACGAAGAACCTTATCCTTTATGGTAACATCCAGCACGCAAAGCCTGCCCGCCGGATCCGCGAAGACAAGGGTACATGCAGCCTTCAAAGACCTGCTAACTAGCCAAGAGACACCCCTCGAACGACCATCAAAACATGCTGAATAAAGGGCGAACCCCTAGACAGTATGTCCTCATGATCATGAGAAGAAAACCGGGTCTCTTGCAAACAACATATATTCACCCCGAGGCGCTGAAGGTCACGAGAGAGCCTCGCCCTGCGAGACTCGGACCTCAGGCCCCGGGCATTCAAACTGGCTAACCAGAGAGCCATCGTGAAGCCGATTAGGGTTGCCCTTCAGGATAGAACATGGCTGGGGTGAGGACACCCACAGCCTGTCCCAAAGAACCAGACATCATCTCATTTTCGAGCGAGTCATCCTGGGACAAGCCGCCGATGTCCGCAGGATAGGTTAG